TTCAAACACAAGAATATCGTGAGGGTGGTGAGCAATGAATGTCTCTTAAAAGCCAACCTCATTAGAAATCAAAAAGACATATCTTATAACGATAAAATGGATGACCCTAGTCGTCATAAGACTAACAATGAACATTAAGAAACATGCGAGAAACACAATGCTTATTTTAGTGTTATATATATAGATACTATTTTAATACATATACACATTTTGAGGTTTATGTGTCTTGAAATTCTTATCACTCAAAGTCATCAATTAGATTATAAGAGTACTAATCTTTTTGTCCTTTAACTCATATTATAATTAAATCAAATGTAACTTTATTTTTTAGTATAAAGACTATATGTGATTAAAATTGGAAAAGAAAAGCAACAATAAATAAAAACGAATTTAGAAGAATCCGGAACTTCAAGTTCCACGATGCGAGGAAAGATCTGCCAGATCGTGGCACACAGAAAACACATGATTTAATTAAATTGTTACTCTAGGTTCTCAGCTGCAAACCACGAAGTGGTCAAGAGTTGACCATGATACGGAGACGAAGATAACCGTGATATATGTAGATACCATGATGTGGTGGAGGACCATCCACATTGTGGCGAAGAGATAGAATGAGTAAACCCTATTTTTCTAAAGCAAAAAATAAATTTAATTTCAATCAAAGGCAAATTTATAGACTTTCAAAACAATTTAAAACAAAAATCCTACACATACAAACCTTAACATACTCAAAAGACAATGTCTAAATGCATTAAAATTGAGTTGACCATGCTCTGATACCACTGATGACTTTCGAGCCTCATCAGATAAAACATAGGATATCGGAAATGATAAACAAATCTAATCTAAACTCAAAATATGAATAATCTAAACTCACTGATCTATGCAACTTATTAGAACTTTATAGATAGAAAAAGTACCTTTGAATTTTTAGTTGGTTTCTTCTTTTGTCGAGCCAGTGATTGGAATAGAGAACCCAAAGGAGAGTTCATCTTATGTGATCGCACCAAGACGCAAACAAGAAACAGATCCAAGCAATCCTCGAACTTCGAGCTTAAACATAATCAACATCTTGATTTTATTCTTTGATCACAACGTGGGAACGACAATTTGAGATTCTTTAGGGTTTTGAGGATTCTGAACTTTGGTAGCTTAGATGTATTTTTCTCAAGTTTCAAAACCAAATTTGGAATCCTCTATTTATAAGGAGGCAATTTAAAATCCTAGAGATAAATACAAAACATAATAGTAATTATCTATGGTATTCAAATCATTATGGAATCTTTAACATTTTGTTTATTTACTATTAATTAATTAACGAAACAAGTTCCTCAAATGAATATCTTTTCAAATCTGCTTCATTTTTGTTCTTGCATGTTCAAAATGACATTACTATTTATAGTAATATTACCTGGCTTTGTTATGACTATTAGTAATAATCTCCATCATTTATCATCACTTTCAGAAAAAAAAAACAATCAAAGAGAAGGGATTTCGCTGATGAGAAGAAAAGAAGAAGGATCGTGTGTATGAGAAGAAAAAAAGGAGGCGTGTTTTTTATCAGGGCACAAACATCTTTTTTTTTTCTTTTTCAGACTTGAGTGTATGTCTGAATTTTTAGGAGACACTTAACTAATTATGAGGTATTCTATAAGAGGCTATCAAATATGGTACATCTCCATTTTTAAGAGGTTGCCTCTTAAATTTTCATATAAAGAGTTAACAAACAAACCCGAAGTAGTAACTTTTCCACACCTTTACTTTTTAAATGACCTTTTTTCCTGATGTTGTTACTGTTCATCAATTAATGTAAGGGTATTTTAGTCTTTTCAAGTAGCAAAGATTGAGTTTGTTACAATAGATAAACTATAAAGACTATTTATGTAATTTACATATATATATATATATATATATATATATATATATATATATATATATATATATATATATATATATATATATATATATATATATATTATGTTTATGAGTTTGTAACTTTTCTACACCTTTACTTTTTAAAATATTACTTTGAACCCTTTAATTTGAACTTTGAAAAATGTTACTTTCACCCATCTATTTTTTAAATTTTGTGTTTAACCCCATATTATATATAATTTGATTTTTATTAATAACTTTCGTTCGGTAACCTAAAAAACTATTTTTATATGTTTATTTTTATATATTTGTCGGTATAATTCAACATGATCAACGTTTTCACTCTAATTTAAAACTTAATTTGTTAATTTTTTTTAAAAAAATTACATGGTGTTTTTTTTATAAAATTGTCAGTTTAAATTTTAGCTTATCTATGTTTCAACGTAGTTTTTTTTAAACGTTTTTGTGTTTAAGTTTATGTACGTTTCTTACGTATGAGATGGTTCACATATAATAACTTTTGTTTGTTGATTTTAAAAAACGTATTAAATTCAAGTTTATATATATATATATATATATATATATATATATATATATATATATATATATATATATATATATATATTAAATTTTTGTGCTTAATTTTATGTACATTCCTATATATCATTTGTGTCATATATAATAACTTTTGTTCGCTAACTTAAAAAACTGTATTATCATCGAGCTTGTCATCATTTCGCCAAACTATTTTTTTAACGTGACCGTGCTTAATTTTATGTATGTTTCATACGTCTGACTCGGGTCACATGTAATATCTTTTTTTATTATTATTATTATTATTATTTAAGCTTTTGTTTGTTAACTAAGAAATATCTTACTTATTTTTATGTACGTGTGGATATAAATTTGTGTTGTTTTTTTAATGTTTTGATGTAATTTTTTTTGTACATTTTGGTGCTTATTTTATGTATGTTTCTGTATATGGGGTTGTTCACATATAATAGATAAAAGCGTAATTATAACCACTGAATTGTATAAGTGGAATTTTGATGATTATATTGATAAAAATTACGTTTCGATGTAAATAAAACACGAACAAAAAAAGATATGTACATAAAAATAAGCACGAAACATAAAAAAATTATATTGAATGCAAATGAACTCGAATCTATACTGATACATAAAAAAAGTTATGTTGAAGTGTAGACAAACTCAGATATAATACATTTTTTAAGCTAATGAATTAAGGTTATTACATGTGACCCGAATAATACATTGGAATGTATATACAATTAAGCATAAAATGTATAAAAAAACATCGAAATGTAGACAAACTCGAATATAATATGTTTTTTAAAATTTATATCATCCGCCTCATACGTAAGAAACGTATATAAAGTTAAACACACAAACGTAAAAAAAAGCAACACAGAAACATAAACAAATTCGCATTTAAACTGATAATTTTATAAAAAAAAATCATGTAACTAAAAAAACTAAAGAAAGTTCTAAATTAAAATCGAAACATTGATCATTTTGAATTATAACGATAAATATATAAAAATAAACACGTAAAAATAGCTTTTTTTAGGTAAACGAACGAAAGTTATTAATAAAAATCAAATTATATATAATACGAGATTAAACGCAAAAATTTAGAAAATAAAAAAGTGAACGTAACATTTTCAAAGTTCAAAACAAAAGGTTCAAAGTGATATTTTATTTTTTAAATGATGGAAAAGTCACAAATAAACATAAAGTATACAAAAAAATTATATAAATGGTTCTTATGGTTACCCATACTCACAAACTCAGTGATAGTTACCTTAAAAAAACCAAAATATTCTCAATATAATAGATGAATAGTAACGACATCAGCAAAAAAATCATTCATACAAGTTTTGGAAATGATAAAGAACATTGTTTATAAAAAAAAAATTTAAGAGTGATTGAATTTGTAACCATTTTTATAGTTTTGTCTAAAAAGTAAGACAAAGGAAAAACGAAGGGCAAATATGTAAATCACGCAAATTATCTGGCTATTATTGTATCGGGTTTCCGTGAGGGAGTAGGTATGGCCAACGAGTGGATTTAAATCATGTATCCATATCACTATACAATACCTACCTACGTAAGCAATGAAGTCAACTAAAATTTCACCTAAAAATGCCATTAATCCGCTTATAGATTCTTTTCTGTTTTGCCTTTCAATTTTCATCGGCTCAACGTCGACCACAAAATCTACCTTCCTCTACGTAACCCTTTTGTGAATATATATATTTGAAACACCATTAAATACACCCGCCGCTGCATCACCACGCTCCCACACCAAGAAAAAGGTGAGAAAGATGTTACCACCATGTATGCGTCGTGTACAACTCGTATTTCCATCCATTGTATCAGCGTCTGTAGTCTCCGGTCACCAGAAGCTGGTTGCTGGGTCATCTCTTTACAAAAGTCTACGATCTTTTTGACTTTTCATTTTTATTTTTTTTATGAAATCATTGATTTAAGTTCATTGGGACGTGGGTTAAAATCTCTTTAAAAAAATTCTTCTCCACCATCAAAATCTGTACCTTTTCACAGTCTTCATAGTTCTTTTCCTATCTTCTGGGTATTTGATAATTTCATCATATGCAACATGATTTTAAACAATATGTCGGTGTATTTTAATAAATGAGATATTAATTTATCTTTCTTTTCAAAATTTAACGAGGAACACATACATCGAATTCATCATCCCTAGCTCAGATGTCTAACATATTAATATTATCTTCTGCTTATCAGAATTTTCACGTGTTGCAAACATCAGTTTTGATCTTAATCTGATTTCATGAACCTAGGAAATTTGTCTCATCTCTTGTACTGTACATACTTGGATTACTGGTCATATTGACATATTGTGGTGGGACTCTTCTTTTGGCTGGTTTAACACTTTTTTTTTTTGTTTTGTTTTTTTTTTTTTTTTTTTTTTTTTTTTTTTTTTTAATTTTAAATTTTAAATTTTTTATATTTACAGGATGCAAATGGGTGGAAGCGTAGAATAAAATTCGTAAGTTCTCCACGGGTTGGCGCTGAATCTTTGGTGGGTTCGAGCGGAAATCAATTTTGATTTATTAATAGAGATGGTTTCTGGTGCTTCATATTGGATGACTTCTCTTTCGTGTTCTTCAAACTCTGTTGTGGCGGAGGACGCCTCAGGAATTTCATTCGTACTCCAATGGCTGAGGTTCATCTTCCTCACTCCCTGCCCTCAAAGGGCGCTTTTATCCTCCATTGATGTCCTGTTCTTGTTTATCCTCTTCGTTTTTGCTATTCAAAAGCTGTATTCAAGATTCACCTCCGCCAGCAATGGCCACTCCGCCAACGAAGAACCTCTTATTCCTAAAAGTAGAGTACTTGTCAATACCAATGTTTGGTTTAAGATATCTCTGCTCGTGACATCCATTTTGGTGGTTCTATCTATTGTTTCGTCTATTTTGGCATTCACACGAAATCCCCTGGTGCCATGGAAGCTAGTGGATGGAATCTGTTGGGTAATCCAAGCTGTAACTTTCCTTGTAATCACAGTGTTGATCATCCACGAGAAGAGATTTCAAGCCTCAACGCATCCGCTCTCCCTCCGTGTTTTCTGGGTAGTAAATTTCATCATCGTTACTTTAATGGCTGCTTCTGGTATCGCCCGCCTAGTTTCTGGCACCAGAAACACTACACCTTTGAAATCCGAAGACATAGTTTCATTGACATCTCTACCATTTTCGATTTTCCTCTTAATTCTTTCCATAACTGGCTCAACCGGAATCATAGTGAAAACAGAATCAGAATCACTGAACGGAAATGGAAATGGCAATGGCAATGGTAAAGTTTCAGAGGGTGATGAGCTGAGCAAGTCGATAAAAGTGAGTGGATGGGCATCCGCTTCAATCCCATCAAAAATCTTTTGGCTGTGGATGAACCCATTGTTGCAGAAAGGGTACAAGAGCCCCCTAAAACTGGAGGACATCCCAACACTTTCACCCGAACACCGGGCAGAGAAAATGGCCAAGCTTTTTGAACAGAATTGGCCTAAGCCTCACGAAAATTGTAAACATCCTGTTCGAGTCACATTGCTTCGTTGTTTCTGGAAACATGTTGCCTTCACTGCGTTTCTTGCCATTATAAGGCTCTGTGTTATGTATGTCGGACCTCTGTTGATCCAAAGATTCGTGGATTTCACCTCAGGGAAGAGCACCTCCCCATACGAGGGGTACTATTTGATACTAATCCTTCTTGTTGCGAAATTCATTGAGGTTTTGTCATCCCACCAGTTCAATTTCAATTCTCAGAAGCTGGGCATGTTAATCCGGTCCACCCTTATAACTTCGCTTTACAAAAAGGGGTTACGGCTCTCTTGCTCGGCTCGACAGTCTCATGGTGTTGGACAGATTGTGAACTACATGGCAGTAGATGCTCAACAGCTGTCAGATATGATGCTTCAATTGCATGCTATCTGGCTTATGCCACTCCAAGTGTCGGTGGCATTAGCCATTCTTTACTCCTACCTTGGTACGCCCTCCTTGGTAGCTTTGGTCGGCCTGGTGGCAGTTATCATTTACGTGGTTCTGGGAACCAAAAGGAATAACAGGTTTCAGTTCAATATAATGCAAAACCGTGACTCGAGGATGAAAGCCACCAACGAGATGCTTAACTACATGAGGGTGATCAAGTTCCAAGCATGGGAGGAACATTTCAACAAGAGGATTCAGGCGTTTCGTGAGTCTGAATACGGGTGGCTTACCAAGTTCATGATCTCCATTGGTGGAAACATGATCGTTTTGTGGAGCTCCCCTTTGTTTATCTCTTCGCTCACCTTTGGGACTGCAATTTTGCTTGGGATCCCACTTGATGCAGGGACGGTGTTCACTGCCACATCACTGTTCAAGAACTTGCAGGAGCCGATTCGAACTTTCCCTCAGTCAATGATCTCCCTCTCTCAGGCCATGATCTCGTTGGGGAGATTGGATGGGTTCATGTTGAGTAAGGAGTTGGATGAGGGGGCGGTGGAGAGACAGGAGGGTTGCAGTGGCCCGACAGCAGTTGAGGTTGAAGATGGGTCTTTTAGCTGGGACGATGAAGCTGCCGAAGGAGGGGTTGTCAAGAATTTGAACTTTACCATTAAAAAAGGTGAACTTGCAGCAATTGTTGGGACTGTAGGTTCTGGGAAATCATCTCTTCTTTCATCCGTTATTGGCGAAATGCACAAAATCTCCGGGAAGGTAGCTAATCTTTAGGACGTGAGACACTAGTTAATAAAATTCATAAACTTAATTTGTTGTTGATATGTATATATACGAAACAGGTGAGGGTGTGTGGAAGCACTGCATATGTTGCACAAACGGCATGGATACAGAATGGGACAATCCAAGAAAACATTCTGTTCGGTCTGCCAATGGATAAACAGAAATACAAGGAAGTAATCAAGACTTGCTGCTTGGAGAAAGACTTGGAAATGATGGAATTCGGAGATCAGACTGAAATCGGAGAGCGTGGGATTAACCTGAGTGGCGGTCAGAAGCAGAGGATTCAACTTGCCCGAGCCGTTTATCAAGATTGTGACATCTATCTTCTTGATGATGTCTTTAGTGCCGTAGATGCTCACACTGGTTCCTCAATATTCAAGGTGATTGATACATAGTGGAATATGAAAGTTCATGCATATATATATATATATATATATATATATATATATATATATATATATATATATATATATATATATATATATATATATATATATATATATATATATATATATTTGTTTTGCTATACAAATTCTCAGATTTATTTTTGTTTTTGATGGTGCAGGAGTGTGTGAGGGGAGCCCTGAGAAACAAGACAATCTTGCTCGTTACCCACCAAGTTGATTTCCTCCATAATGTTGATCAAATATTGGTAAGTAACTGTACACCACGAGTCTGTTTTAAATGTTTAGAGACACGGGTATTGATTGAGTATTGAATTTAACTATATATATATATATATATCAGGTGATGCGAGATGGCATGATTGTTCAATCAGGAAAGTACGACGAGCTACTAGAATCTGGCCTGGATTTTAAGGCTCTAGTATCCGCCCACGACACCTCTATGCAACTGGTAGAAATGGAGGCTACAACATCTGAAAGCCCCTCCCCAAGACCTATTCAGAAGTCTCCTAGCCATAACCCAAGGGAAGAAGATGACAAGGCTTTAGAAAGATCCAAGTCTAGTTCTGTCATAGGCACATCAAAACTGATCGAAGAAGAGGAGAGGGAAACCGGAAGGATCAGCTTAAGTGTCTATAAAGTGTACCTGACTGAGGCTTTTGGATGGTGGGGTGTGATTGCTGTTTTGTTTTTCTCATTCTTATGGCAAGGCGCACAGATGTCAAGTGACTACTGGTTGGCCTATGAAACTTCTGAGGACCGAGCAGCCTCTTTCAACCCCTCATTGTTTATACAAGTTTATACAGCGATAGCCGGTCTGTCCTTTCTTTTGGTATTTGGCAGAGTCATTTCTTCAACAATCCTCGGGCTGAAAACCTCCCAGAGTTTCTTTAAACAGATACTTCACAGCATCCTTCATGCTCCAATGTCGTTTTTCGACACTACACCTTCAGGAAGGATTCTTAGTAGGGTAAAGTTTCTTAATTAATGCGTACATTCCTATTTCTGTTGGACTAACTGCCAACATGTACACAGACCATTCTTATGCAGCTTATCTGTTCAATCTTTTCAGGCATCAAGTGATCAAACAAACATCGATGTGTTCCTTCCATTTATGATGAGCCTGACTCTTGCTATGTACATAACAGTGATTAGCATTATCATCATCACTTGTCAGTATGCTTGGCCAACCGTGTTCCTACTGGTTCCATTGGGTTGGCTCAATTTCTCGTATCGGGTATGTTTCATCTGCATGTGTTGACCATAACAAGTTAGCATGCGTACAATAAATTAATGTTTTGATTGTTTCAGGCGTACTATCTTGCAACATCTCGTGAAATAACGCGGCTTGACTCGATCACAAAGGCACCCGTTATTCACCATTTCTCGGAGAGCATCTCTGGGGTTATGACAATTCGGTGTTTCAGAAAGCAGGACAGGTTTGTTCAAGAAAATGTTGATCGTGTGAATGGAAACCTGAGAATGGATTTCCACAACAATGGATCCAACGGGTGGTTAGGTTTCCGTTTGGAGTTCATCGGAAGCTTATTTTTATGTGTTTCGACTGTGTTTATGATCATCTTGCCTAGCAGTATCGTTAAACCAGGTATATTCACAAGTCACAACCAAACCCCATAGCTATATATAGCTAGTGTTGTTATTTTATTTAAATATATAAGTGATCTTGATCACAGAAAATGTCGGATTATCACTATCATACGGATTGTCACTCAATGGGGTGCTGTTTTGGGCTTTATACATGAGCTGCTTTGTGGAAAACCGTATGGTTTCTGTTGAGAGGATTAAACAGTTCACCAACATACCATCAGAAGCTGAATGGGTGAAGAAAGACAGCGCTCCTCCTTCAAATTGGCCTTCACATGGCAATGTGGAGGTCAAAGATCTGCAGGTAACTTACTTAAAACTTATGGCCATTTTTAAGAGTAAATATGATATGATTTGATTTGAAGTAGCTAGCTGTATGTTTGGTTGTGAGCACAGGTTAGATATCGTCCAAACACGCCCTTGGTGATCAAAGGGATCACGCTGAGCATTAGAGGAGGTGAAAAGATTGGTGTGGTTGGTAGAACCGGAGGTGGGAAATCAACTCTAATCCAGGTTCTGTTTAGGTTGGTGGAGCCTTCTGGTGGAAGCATAATCATTGATGGCATCAACATCTCCACCCTCGGACTCCATGATCTCAGGTCTCGGTTTGGGATCATTCCTCAGGAACCAATCCTTTTTGAAGGCACTGTGAGAAGCAATATCGACCCTATTGGCCAACATTCTGATGAAGAGATTTGGAGGGTACGTATGTAATTTTTATTTTTCTATGGACCATGCATGACAACGACAACTTTTATATATCCATCTTAAGCTTAAAATCCTATGCATTGACATTGGCATTTTTTTTTTTGCAGAGTCTTGAACGATGCCAACTTAGTGATGTTGTATCTTCAAAACCTGGTAAACTAGATTCTGCAGGTACTAGAAAATTAAACTGATCCGAAGACTTGATTTCTTGGTTAATACACAAGCAAAAGGTCGATTGAATATGTATTGGTTTTAATTGTTTGTAGTTGTGGATAATGGGGATAACTGGAGCGTGGGACAAAGGCAACTTCTTTGTTTGGGGCGGGTGATGCTGAAGCACAGCAGGTTGTTGTTCATGGACGAAGCAACGGCTTCTGTGGATTCACAAACAGATGCTGTCATTCAGAAGATCATACGAGAAGACTTTGCCGACTGTACCATCATTAGCATTGCTCACAGAATTCCCACCGTCATGGACTGTGACCGTGTTCTTGTCATCGATGCAGGTAATCCTACCATTAATTAATTAATTAATTAATTAATTAATAATACTTGTTGTTGATGGAGTAACCCTTAAACAAAACATGATCATGTGGTTGTTGCTGGAAACAGGTTATGCTAAAGAATTTGACAAACCTTCACGCTTGATCGAGAGGCCTTCACTCTTTGGGGCATTGGTTCAGGAGTATGCTAACCGCTCCTCTGGTGTATGAACACTTGAATGCTTCTGGCTGGCTTGAAGTTTTGGTGATGACACTGGGTTGGGTTTATGTCCTTAATTTTTAGAGAATATTAAGCTCGTCGTATAATATAAAAATGGTTTAATATGTGTTTCTATTATTTAGTGTAATTTAGATGCATCTAAAAAATGCAATTTGACTGCAAGGTTGTCGGTTAATGCCCAAGGATGGGACGTTAGAGCGCAAAATGCTAGTTATATAATTTCTGATAAATTTTTTAGAGTAAAAAATTACATAAAAGATTCCATTGTACTGTGAAATAGACAACTTTGGTCCAACTTTTTTTTTTGTTACATCGGTGGTCCCTGTGTTAAGCTTATTGTAGCGTCCATCGACACTGTTTATCTTCTGATGTTTAAATTTTTAATCCCCTTCACGTGCCTACCATTTTCTTTTCTTAATCTCCCATCTCTTTGTTAATTTTGAAAACCCCTCTATCTACCGTCCTCTTCATTAAGACCTACAAATACTGTCTCCTTTCTTTTCTTTTCCTTAAAATTGAATCCAACAATGGTTGTTTGTGTGTGGTCGAAGAGCCATCATTGTGACTTCTTAGACAAACAACAACCTATGTCTAAGGATATGCTTGTGTTCAAAACAAGGATCAAAGTTCTCATTCATAGGTAGGGTAGACCCAATAATGTGCATAACGGATATCATCTCATACTTGTTGTCGTGTAATTGAATAGTCGCTAAAAGAAGTTTTGAAGCAAGGAAGTACAAGATTATGTTCATAGCTAGTTGGATTTTTTTTTTCTGGATTATGTTTTTTTTTTTTTTTTTTTTTTTTTTTTTTTTTTTTTGACCTTGTTTTTGTGTGGTCTTCTTTTGGATTTCTTTCTACCTATTGTAGGGTATGAAATGTTAGTTATCTACTATTTTGTAACAGGATTGATCTTTTAAAGGTTATGTATATATGCAAAAGTTGTAATGTAATAGTGAAATGAAAATTGTCTTGGTTGTGTTACCCTGTTTTACTAATTTTTGTTGTTGCATTGAAGTTCATGTCATCCTTACAAAAGACTAGTACTTTTCCACATTTACCATATCATTATCATTTCAATAACAAAACATATGTAATTTTCCACAATGGCCATAACATAAGCTCTTCAAAACCATAATAATAATAATAATAATAACAATAACATGATCATTAAGTTAAATCTACCATAACATGTTCAAAAAGTAAGACATTGTTTACAAAATACCAAACCAAATTATTGTTTGAAAACAAGGATAACTGAAGTACCAAACCAAAAGCATAAACTACCAAATCACTCGTTATTGTTTTCAGACTACCAAACTACCAAACCAACACTGGTATTTACCAAGTATGAGATCAATCACTTAAACCACATGTGCCTTCTTCCCAAGCTTCTTTGAACTCTCACCTAGTCCACAATGTCCCTTATAACTCCTAACTCCTGGAGTTGTTAACTCAATTGTGATCAAAGTTATGAAAATCGCTTTGCGGTTGACTGACGTTAAATGATTAATTGGACCGAGCGAGGATTAATCGGGGACCCTAAATTATTAATTAAATAATTTTAAAAATTAATATATCCTAAAAAAATAAATATTTGAAAATTTAAAATTTCTAAAATTTGAAAATTTAGTATAATATTTTAAAATTTGAAAACTTAAAAGTTTAAAAATTTAAAGTATGGTGTAGTATTTGAAAATTAATTTTTTTTCAATTTTTTAAATATTTCCTGTCTATGACCGCTAAGGTCCGTCAAGCCGAGTTTGATAGATTTTGACCAATATCCGCTAAACACCCTAATCATTCTTAGTTCTAGGCCGTCAAGTGATTAATCTGTCACCAAGGTCAATTTCTGCAACAATGATTGTGACACTTTCTATAAGCCGCTATCATAAATCATAATTCATATACTTTTTTTTTTGACAACTTTTCTTTCGATGCCCACTTCAATGTAAATGTGTATCTCTTTATTCTTAATAACATACATTTAAATGACTACCATATCTTGGTATTACCAAGACATTACAGTCCATAATCTAAATGAGCTTTGGGTATAAGAATATAATATAAGATGGTTTCTCCATTCAGGAGCACATACCCTAACTCTTAAAGCATTGTATTTAACTCGTGAATGGAAAACCCGATAATGTCCACACATGTGATGTACCTTACTTTACCTTTGTATGTATCTACATTGTGGAGGATGATTGTACTCTTTGTTGGTGATTTTAGTGTCACTAGACATTTTGTGTAATTGGAACTAAATATATGAGATAATGGGCTTATGATTTGTACTCTATATTATATGTTTAGTGTATGCGGAGTGCACATATATAGAAGATCAAATTATAAGCTAGTGCGACAAACTGGTTGGGGTCAAGGGGGCCACAACCCCTTCCAGGGCCCTAGGGGCAGTGCCCCATAGTGGAAAATTCGAATTCCAGTGAGTAATTATGGTAAAACTGACAAATCTTGACAGTTTTAATGTAACACCCGGTTCCTCGTATGTATTTTAAATCAAAATTTATTCGCTTTTGTATAGAAACTCGACGAGTTTGAGGCCCCAAACTCGTCGAGTATGAATGGAATTTGGACGCGGGATGTAAAGTCTACTTGAGGAGTTGAGAGCTCCAACTCGACAAGTATGATTGACAGAGTGAAACCCTAACTTTCAGGATTTAACACCCTATTTAAACACCTTAACCTCCAAAGGCTGGCCTCATTTACAGTCTCCAAGTCCCAAACCCCAAATCTCGAACCCCTAATGCCTTGTGTGAGCTTGTGAGTCATTTTTTAGAGAAAACTTATGCATTTGAAGCTTGTGGAAGAAGAAGAACGTTGAGGACTCAAGAAGAAGTGAGTAGATCCAGAAACTTCACTCTGTTTGTAGCATTTTCTGGTAAGTAAGTCTCAAACTTGCTTAATAATTACTTAGATCTCTTCATCTTCACTTTTATTCAGTTTTTGGTCCAAGTAGCATGGTCCTTGGGGAATAGACGTCCCAAGTGAGTATACTTCCAGATCTAGGACCTTGGAGGGCCTTCATGGCATAAAGGTGCAAACTTTATGGCTATTGAAGCCACATGCAAACTTTAGGATGTCATTTTGGCCTTTTAAGCTCCAAAAGGCCATGCATGGAGAGAAGGTCGGAGACTTTACATGTTCATGTAGTGTCTAGGTTCTAGATCTTAGTTTGTATGCCTTAACTTGAAGTATTAATGGCTTTTAGATCAAGATCTAGGTCTTAAAGAGTTAGGGTTTGAGCTAAACCCATTAAGGAAGGCTATTAACGGGTAAAGTTGGAAACTTTACCCTTAAAAGGACATTTTCAATATGTAGATGAAGCATGGAGCTTAGATCAAAAGGATAGGGGCTTAACCTATTAAGATGGCTTAACTGACTGAAGAATTCATCGAGTCCATAGAGGAACTCGACGAGTTGGGTCAAAATTGTCCCAATTCCGTAATGGACAAAACTCGACGAGTTGAGTGGAGAAGTCCCGATTCTGTGGATAAGAGAAACTCTACAAGTTGTGAAAGAACTCGACGAGTTGGATCATGATTTGAGGGTTTATGATTCATGGAACTCGACGAGTTGATGGACCAATTCGACGAGTTGAGTCAACCCAAAATGCTGACTTTGACTAGAAGGCTGATTTTGACCAGCGTGTTGACCTTGACTTTAACCAAAGTTGACCCTTAAGGGGTTATGAGTATGAAAGGGTAATTAAAGGAGATGTTTTATGATTAGGAGTTTGAGTGTAACACCCAAAAACCTGGTACGTCTTGAAACCTTCAAGATTTTACTTATGAGCATAATTGGTCCCTCGAGTATGCTGGGCGTACCTATGAGTACGCTTAGCGTACTCTATGTGATTGATCGCGGAGGAGCCCCACGTACGTTGGGCGTACGTGAGGGTACGCCGGGCGTATGTGTCAGAGAGTCAAAACCCTAATTGTCGGTCATGAGACCTATTTAAGCAACCTTAAGTCCCTTGGACTTAGCCCTGGAGAGCCTCCACTGCCTTAGAACGCCCATATACTCCAGAGATCTTGTGTGAGACCATTTTGAGCTTATAAAAGTGCTATGTGACTCTTTTAGTATCCATTCCAAGAAGAAGAGGTGGTTTTATAAGCTTGGAACGAGTTGGTGCTTCAAGATCCTGCATCTTAGTCATCTTGCAAAGCTTCTGGAGGTATAAAGCTTGCACCTTTCCATATTAATCTCTAGATCTAGCTAGGGTTTCTTGTTTGGTCTCTTTTTGGATGATTTTGTACCTCCTTTGTGAGTTAAGCATTTCCAGGAGAAGGGATAGGCAAATCTGAGGTCCTTTGGTCCTTTAGTACCATAAAAATGGAAGCTTGATGAGAGCTTTGGCCTCATGCATGGGTTAAAGACCTTAGAAAGGTCTTAATGGAGAAGTTGGGGGTGTTTGAGTCATGCAAAGGCATAAAGTTGCAAACTTTATGCCTTAGGACATCTTTACAGACTTAGATCTAGATTTTGGACGTAAAGGAAATGAGTATTAATGTTAGGGTGCAAAGTTCTTCATATATGACTTTGTAGATGGTTTGACTTTTGTAGGCCCACTTGCATGTGGTGCATTAGCCTTATGATTAATGAGTATTTGAGAGTGAGAGAGAGAGAGACATGTAAACACCTCTATATAAGGTGGGGTTCATACCACTTGTAGAGGTGTGCTTGAGAGATGTAGTCATAGTGATTAGTGAATGAGATATTTATGAAGTTCTAGACTAGATCCCTTTTGGTACTCAATTACTATGATTGAATATATATTTTCGCACCCAAATCACCATGTTCATTGTGAAAACTTTAATTATGCATGCCAAACCATGTTCTTTTGTCACTACAATTGGTATCAGTGCGGGTCTTCAAGATCAATGTGATTTTTGAAGAACGATTCTCGGTTTGGCAACTTTTGTCACAATTTGAACAATTTTTAGTGAGTCTCTCTCTATGATCTCTCTTAATCTCATTGAATCGTGCGTTGCGTTCATAATTTTTGATCGTTTGACTCATTGGATCAATTTTTTTTTTGAAAAACCCGTTTGTTATGATCCAATAAATTTTTTGTTGATCATGTCCAAATCCAATCCTGTTTGTTCGATTCAATTTTCAAATTGTTAGTGTTCCTTCGAATTGAGTTTCAAGTCGAAAATTCTTTTATCATCTAAATTTTCAAATTCATTATTATTCACAAATCTGTTTTTGAGCCCAAATGGTTACTGTTCATCTTTACTTCATGAGCCTAATCCACAATCCACAATTAAATTGTAAATAACTGTGTTCATCTTTCATTCGCAATGACGCCACACATCCGATACATTCAAAATTGAATGTATTAAGACTTGATTCAAAGAAATTTTGGATTCGAATGATTTTTGTTCTTGGAGTCAAGTTTTTTTTTTGTTCATTTTTTGCGAAGATCGTTAGAACAGATAGAGAGAGTTGAACGAAAGGTCAAACTAAGAAAGTCAAAATTGATTGTTTGTAAGTTGAAATTGAGTTCAGGTTACATCGAAATGGTTTATGATTTTGAAAAACGAAATCGATTTCGGGTCAACTTTTGATTTCGATTTTTGATTTTGGTTCTTCATATTCTAAATCAATGGTCAAGGGTACGCCATCTATGAACAAACAGTTGATTTATATCTGTTAACAGTAAAGTATAAGGTTGTGTGAGTTCGTTTGAGAAGAGGAATGAGAATGAGAAACGAAAGCAAATCAGTGGTTTGGGATCAAAATCCATCTTTCTTGGATT